ATCCTGTTTCTAGCCTTCAAACCCCACCTCGCTTCTTAGGGCCTCAAAAAACGTCAAGGCCGAGTGGCCAGTTATTTCGCAGATAAACCGTTTCTATCCAAAAGATCCAATGTCATTCCAAGTTCTTTTATCCAATGTACAGGTAGCCGCTCCGGCTCGAAGCGGGAGAGTCTTGTGAGGGAAAAAGGAACGAGAAGGTATACCTGCTTGTAGAAATTCATTCTGCGAAGAGGTCAATTACATGGATAAGAGGCGCAAAGGGAACAATGGTTTCTCACCTCTGTAAAAAGGGCTCATAGCTGGTGAAGACTTCATTCGTCTCGGGAATAACCCAAACCTAGTGAGCCTGGAATTAGACGCCATGGGAATATAGCTGGGCCGGTCGAGCGCATACCTCAGAGCTATCATCTTCGATTGTTGGTTTCGGGAGATAGTGCACAGGCTTGCGCTTGAATAGCACCTTACAGACGGGTCCGTGTCAATGGTGACATACGTCCCTTCGGTGTTGACCACATACCATTGTAAATTGAAGCGTTTCAGCGACGCAAAAGCCGCGGAGCAGGAATCTAGGTTGACGGAATACCGGAAAGCAAGTATGCTGGGCGAGGTTGACCACCAGTGATATTCCAAGCTCCGGGAGTGTGGCAGCTCAAACTGCCAGAGTGATCAAGTACCGGAGAGAATACGAAGCTGCACGAAGCTTTCCACCGCCGAAGTTCACCGATCAGCGGAGTTCCGTCGATAGGAAGACGCGTGGCTCTAGGAGCTTTGCCGGGTGCAGATGTTTAGAGGCCAGCCTGCGCACCTCGCGAACACCGCATTACGCGTTGTGGCTCAAGAGAAAGCCCAAAACTAGCCAAGCCGGAAAAGGTGACGAGCGCTGATAGTGAACACGCCAAGGGAGGAAACAAATTGATGGCGGCGGGGAGTGTGGGAGGGCGGGTGGTTGGGGGTTGCAAGAAGACAAGGGAGTAGGAAGAGGACGAGGAAGAGGCGGCGGAGAAAAACATTTGAAGTGGAAGAAGGGAAGGATGAGCGACGGTCGACGAATCGGGTATGGGGGGGGTCTTGGTTCCTGATCGGGAATAGGCGTGTATGTACGGAGGCTGTACGGGCTAGCGAACCACGGGGCGGGTACGTCCGTCCAGCATACATCCTAGGGGGAGCGGCGCCGTATCGAGACTGTAAGCCCGTACCAACACACGGCTCCCTCCCGATCCGGGTTAGGCCGACTGGGTTCCTACTATAAAATATTCCAGACAGCCGCATTCGACCCTTTCTGGATGTGACGGGACTTTCAACAATGTCACCCTGCGTTGTCCGACAGTGAAGCGGGATGTATGTTGTTGCCTTTCTCTATACGGCAAGCTGCGGTAACTATGAGCTCCATTGAGTCAGTGGAGGGGCAAGGTGGTGAACTACATGGCTATCAAGTCGTCCCGGGTCTAGATAGATTAACTAGCTGAAAACGTCGCTGCTATAGTTATGAGACCAATTATATTATATCTATTTTATCTCATTCAGGCGTCAATTACATGCACCATTGGCGGGAAATAGCTTCAAATCAACCCAATTTACAGGAACTTCTTGGGCATGTGGGAGCGGCGTCTCTTGTAAAAGATATACGCTCCGGCAAGCGACACTTGGAGTCCCACGATCAGGAAGATGAAGAAACCCATGCGAGGAGCGGAGGAGAGGATACCTGGTTCAGGGGTTAGCATCGGTTGTCTGTTTCTTCTCATCTCCGGAGTAGGACTTACGGTGCGAGGAATCATGTAGATTTTCAAGCAGCCCAGAGTGTGAATGATGCAAGGCTTGCTCCAACTTGGTGAAGTGGACCTCATAGTTCTTACTTGCAAGATCCTTTTGGACACTTTCGACCATTCTCTCAAGTCTCATAATTCTCTGGTCCACACTGCTAACTTGATCGCGATTAGCCGCGCTGTGGGACATTTCTTGGTGACGGTCATCGAATTTCTTGGAGAGGGAAGCAAGTTCATTCAAGAGCCTGTCCGTTGCGCCACTGAGTCTTTGGAGACGATCTTGGATATCTTTGATCTCGGATTGAACTCCTGAAACCCCATCGTGAGAGGCTTGCTGGTTGTTCCCACTCTTCTGAACCGGTGGCTTCTGAGCTTGATGGCTCCGTTGGTTTTTTGCAGCATTGCCGCTGTCAGATTGGGGATGAGACAAGTGGAATTTGAAGACCTCGAAAGAATCGGGATTATCCGTGGACGAGGCGCTGATCCCGAAGACATTCCCCTTTGGAAGAAAGACCTAGCAATGACGAGTGAGTACACGGGCTTCACAAGCAAATTGGTAGCTTACAACTAACCTTTTTGGTCTGGAAACAACTTCTCCCATCCACGGACACCTCAAATGAAAACCCCGTTTGTTTGATGGTGATCTGCGACGGCCTTCCAAGGTTACGATAATTATATTCGCAGTGCCCAAATGCTAGGCTGTCGACATTCCGATGGCTTTTATAATCGGTGGTACCGTCATTTAAAAAGCCACGCACCATTCCCCTCTTTAACGTCCGTTAGCGAACTCGCTTGCGCGGTAGTTTTCGTGTCTTCCTTACCCCTTGTGAGCTATCGATGGTGATACCCAACCCATCAAAGCGAGGCGCATCATAAATGCCATGCGTTCCAACAATCATTTCCTCCATTCTTAACATACCAAAGCTGAAGACTTTCCACCGGGCCCTATCCTCTTCCATTGGTTCTGAATTCGAAATCGACCGTCCACTCAGATTGAGCTACGCTGTACCTGTGTGAGTGTAACCCAAAAGTGACGTTGAAACGTAGCATAACTCA